ACGATGCCACCCGAAGGCTGCAGGAACAGCAACTCATAAATCCTCATCCCGCCCCCTTGACCTGTCCATCCTCCCTGGACTGACCTATCCCCTTCCTAACTCCCTACCTACACTCACCTTTACTGGCTCCATCCCCGCCTCTTCGACCTGTTTGTTTCCTCTCCACCTATCCTCTCCTCTATCCCTCTTCTATCCGCCTCCCACTCTCTCCCTATTTATTTCAAAACCCCCTTCCCCTCCCCCTTTTCTGATGAAGAGTCTAGGCCCAAAACGTCAGCCTCTCTGCTCCTATGATGCTGCTTGGCCTGCTGTGTTCATCCAGCCCTGCACCTTGTTGTCTCAGTGTATTCTCGGTGTGGTCTAAATCATGCCTTGGTTTAGTTTTTGTTGTCAAAGTTGTTGCTAAGTTGCAGCAACACCTTTCAATTAAATTTATCTTTGAAATAAGCAAATATTCCATTTGTCTTTCTTGTTACCTGCTGATCTTGTACACTAGCTGTTTGTGGTCTATACGCAAGGACAGGCAAATAGCTGCATTGCAGCTTTTTGGAGTCTTTCCCCATTTAAACAATACACAGCTCTGTATTGTTCCTGCCAAAATGCATGACCTCACATTTTCCCACATTAAATTCCATGTGCCAAGTTTTTGCACTCAGTTTCCAGTCCCTCTGTAGACTCTGTCTATCTTCCTCACCACTAGCCTTCTCATCTATCATTATGTCATCCACAAACCTGACTTTGTTCATTCAAAACTGCATAGACAAGCCATTAATATATCCTGCAAAGAGTTGTGGTTAGAGTGCTGGGGCCTGTGCCACTGCAGTATTCAGAGGTTTCCGTCCTGAAAAACCCCTTATCTCAACTCCCTACTTTCTACTCGTTACCCAATGCTCTATCTATGCTAACATACTACCTCCAACACCATGGGTTCTTATCTTAATAAGCAACCCAATGTGTGGTACGTTGTCAATTGCCTTCTGAATAGCCAGTTATATTACATTGACTGCTTCCCTGTTATCTATCCTGCTTGTCACCTCCTGAAAGAATGCTAGTAAATTTGTCAGACATGATTTCCCCTTCATGAAACTATGCTGACTCTATTTGAGTGTATTATTTATTTCTAAACACACTGCTATCACATCCTTTATGATAGATTCTAAGATTTTTCCAATGACAGACATTATGTTAACTGGCTTTTAGTTACCTGTCTTTTTTGTCCCCCTCCCCATTTAAATTATGGTGTTACCATTGGCAGTTTTCTAATTCCCTTGGACTTTTCTAGAACCTAAAGCTTAGAGTCATAGTCATAGAGCCATAAGATTATGGCTAGTGTATCCATTATCTCTGTAGGCAGTTCCTAGAGTGCATTCCATCAGGTTCAGGGGCTTTTAGCCACATTAATTTCTCCAGTACCTTTTATACTGACTGTTATTCTATTTATTTCCTCTGCCCCTTTTGCCTCTTGATTAGCTAACACTTTGGAAACCTGATGGAAAATATTTATTCAACGTTCCTGACACTTCCTGGTTCCCCAGAATTATTTCTCTAGCCTTACTCTCTAATGGTGCCTTTGTTCACTTTGGTTTCAATCTTCCTTTGCATATATTAAAGGAAGCTCTTACTGTCCATTTTGATATTACTTGCTAGTATGCCTCCAGACTTTATCTTTCCCTTTTTTTTGGGTAATCATTTGATGCTTTTTAAAAAGTGTTTCCAATCCTCTAGCTTTGACGTTTTTTTATTTTGATACTATCCTTAATTTCCTTGGTCAACCACAATTGGTTTTTGGCCTTCCTAGAATTCTTCATCCTCACTAGGCATATGTTTGTTGTGAGTCATGAACTATTTTCTTAAATTGTCAATCAACTGGGTTTTCTGCTAAAATGCTTTCTCACTTTGCTCTGGCCAACTCCACCCTCATTTCTTAGTAATTACCCTTATTTAAAGAGGAACAGTTGTTCCTAACCAAGTTTTTCACTCTGTGTGAATGTTCACTTCTACCATGTCTTGATCGCTTCCTAAGGAATCTTTTGCTCTGAAATGATTTCTTAAATCTGCCTCATTACATATAACCAGACCCAAAATAGCCTGCTGTCTGATTGGATTCACAACACAATATTTTAGGAAACTCTCCTGAATATACTTGATAAATTCTTCCTAGTTGATATCTCTGCCAATTTGCTTTTCCCAATCTACACAAAGATCAAAGTCAGCCATGATTAATATACCGTCTTTGTTAGATGCCCTCTTATTTTCTGGACCACCAAATAGCTATTGTTATGAGACCTGTAGACCACTCCCACTAGTGTCTTCTTCATCTTTTTATTTCTTATTTCCACCGATCCGAGATTATTTTTTGCTATTGTATTCATTCCATCTTGTACCAACAAAGCTTTCAAACCATCCTTTCCTGCCTGCCTGTCCCTTCAAAAAGTTGCATTTCGCTGAACATTTACTTCCCAGCTTTGATCTTGTTGTAGCCACATCTTCTTAATGGTTACAAGAACATGTCCATTATCCTCCATTTGTGCCACTGATTCATTTATTTTGTTCCACAGATTATATGCAATCAAGCAAAGAGCCATTAATTTTGCCTTTTCCTGATTTCTTTTTCCCCTTGATTGACACTAGTTTGTATCCTATCCCACTGTGGGTATCATTACCCAAATAGCTGCCATATCCTTTTGCTTTGTAAGCCTGCATTGCTTCTCTCCCAAAATGCACCCCCCTCTAATTAGTTCACGCCCTCTGTGCCCCTGGTTATATGAATCACCAGGACACTGCTCCCAGCATGGTTCATGTGAAGCCCATCCCAGCAAAACAGCTCTATTCTACCCCAGTGCTAGTGCCAGTGCCACATGATCTGAAACCCATTCCTGCCACACCAATCTTTGAGCCACACACTTAACTCTTTGACTTTATTTACCCTTCATCAGTTTGCCTGTGGCTCAAGTAGTAATCCTGAAATTATTACCTAGAAGGTTCTGATGTTTAATTTAACTCCAAACTGTTCAAGCTCTTTCAGGAGAACCTCATTTCTCATCCTACCAATGTTGCTGGCACCAACATGGGTGATGACAACTGGATCCCTCCCGGCCCTCTCCATGATCTCCTCCAGTCCTCAGGAGATGTCCTTAATCCTGGCACTGGACAGGAAACACATCCTTAAGGATTTCTGCTCACAGCTGCAGAGAGGAGTATCCATCCCCATGATTACAGTGCCCCCACCCTGGTCCTTAGGTTGACTTCATGAAGTTGGTAGACAAGAAATTGGTAAAAATGTTCCTGTACACAAATTCAGGTTCATGAGGGTGAGCCTGACAATTGTCCAGTATTGGAATAGCTTCCCCAACCTCTGAAATGTTCTTTCAGTGTGAGTTCAAAAACATGATGCCAACAATGTGGAAAAGACATTTTCCTTTCATTGATTGTAAATTATAAGAAACCATGCAACACCTATAAATACCCTCTGATGCATACATTTCTCAACTATCAAAAATCTTCTGTGAGCGTGCATCATTTGCACACTTTCAGGTTGTATTCCTATTGTTAATGTGTGTTAAATCAGTAAAACTAGTTTCCTTCATACTTATCAGGGGAGAATTCAGCAAACATCAGCGACATATGTTCGTCTCACTGTAGTTGATCAAGATATTTCCAGAGATAAAAATTGACAGAATTTTTCTGCAGCCTCTTGGTCAGCTGATTTTTGCTTAACTAACTTCGGTGGCCGGATTTTCTGCAGAGTGGATATCTTCCTCAGATCGCCTTTCTTGTTAACAAAAGCAGGGTTTTGTATTTCTGAGACAGGATTCCTCTCAGCGCTCCCTCAGAAATACTGAGCTGTACTTCCATTTTGACAGTCCTCTTGTTGCGCAGAACTGTCAGAGGAAGGTAAACTTTGCCCCCCTCTTTCAGAGCAGTTAGCGGCCACTTTGACATCCACAGCTCATCACTATGCTAAATGGGACAGACTTCAAACAGACCATCAACCCAAGCCTGGACCTCTGTGAGGTGCTGTGGGCCATCAACAGCAGCAGAATTGTACTCCAGCACAATCTGCGACCTTATGGCCCAGCATATTTCCCACTCAACCATTACCATCAAACCAGGGGATCAACCTTGGTTCAATGGAGTATGCAGGAGGGGCATGCCATGAGCAGCACCAGGCATACCTAAAAATGAGGTGTCAATCTAGTGAAACCACCAAAAACGTCTCCCTGCATATCAAACAGCGTAAGCAGCAAGTGGTCGACAGTGCTAGGCAATCTCACAACCAAGGAATCACATTTATGCTCTGCAGTCCTGCCACATTGAGTTGTGAATGGTGGTGGACAATTAAATAACTCACTGGAGGAGGAGGATCCACAAATATTTCCATCCTCAATGACGGGTAAACCCAGGACATCAGTGCAAAAGATAAGGCTGGGGTGCTCATAACAATCTCTAGGCAGAAGTGCTGAGTGGATGATCTATCTTGGCCTCCGCCTGTGGCCCCCAGAATCACTGATGTCAGTGTTCAGGCAATCTGATTCACTCCATGCAATATCAAGAATCATTTGGAGGCACTGGATACTGCAAAGGCTATGGGCCCTAACAACATTCTAGCAATGGTACTCCAGAACCTGCCACTCCCCTCAGTTTGGCTTCCACCGGAGCCACAAATCTCCTGAACTCATTCAAGCATTGGCTCAAATATTGAAACTAGAGTTGAATTCCAGAGGTGAGGTGAAAGTGGCAGTCCTTGACATCTAGGCTGTAGTCGAAGGATGGTAATATCAAGGAGCCCTTGCAAAACTGGAGTCAATGGGGCACACACTCTGCTCGCTGGAAGCATATCTATTTGCTGCTGTTATTTTGCCATTTCAGTTTATTTTTCAGTTCCAAACTTAAAAGTGTAGCTCATGTAAATTCTAGACAATAATTTCACTCTGTTCCTGCCGGAAATGTGGAGGATAAAAACAGCATTTTTATTCTGTCCTTAATCATTCTTTTTACAGAGATCATCGAACAAACAACATCGGTTATGAAGAAGTGTCAAATCTTTTCGTTATTTTCCCTAACACTAGTACTTACCATCATTGTATATCTTGTTTTGAATCCCTCTTTGAATAAGATATTATTAAGATTAAATGAGTTTACAATCATATTGGCAAACTACTCGGCCAAACTAACCTCCAGTGACCAAATGTCTGATCAGGTCACCTCTGAAAACACAGCGACTGTGAGGCGCCCACACCCAACCACAGAGCCCGGAATTATGTTTTTACAGAGCTCCAGTGAACTAAACCCTTCCCCATTGGTCATGTGCAGCATCGAATCAGCAGCTAGACTAAACCCAAACAAACCAGTTTATTTTTTCATGAAAGCGTTCAATGGGAGCGTATCCACGTATCGAGAACCTGAGTACAGAGGCATCCCTCTGCTTTCTTCATTCAAGAATGTGGTCATCTTGCCCTTGAATCCTAAAGAATTATTCAGCGACACACCCTTGGCTGGATGGTATGAGAAGGTAAGGAATTGTACGGAGCTAGCTGCTTGATGTGTGGATGGTAAAAGCTGTTATTGGCCATCAATCTGAAAAAAGACAAGGTTTCCAAATCTTTAGATTCGGGAATTGTGTGTTTAAGTTCTAGGTAAATTGAAGTGGGTCATATGACCTTTACCGCAGTCTTTTGGTGCTTATGGGTGGATATTGTTAGAGACAAAGCAAAGGTTTAGATTGTTTTACTGGGAAGAAGGTGCAATTTACTGGAAATTTGAATCATTTTTGCAAAGTTATCGATTTCTACAGAAATCATAAAAGTGTATGAACTCCAAATTCAATCTAATTTTGATGGAGAATCACTGCACTTGAAATGTTAACTCTACTTTCATCCCACAGATGCTGCCAGACCTGTTGATTTTCACCAGGAATTTCTGTTTTTGTTCTGCATTAAATAACTTGGTTAAATTTGTGTGTGTTTCTTTGAAACAAGCAGCTTCTGGCACTGATGGCTATCTGTCAATCTCCTGAAAACCCTTATCCGATAAAGCACTGAAGACTGAATAACTGTTGATAGCTGTCAGCAGGAAGCTAGGCTAGAGTAACTCATCACAGCTTTAAATAAGAAAAGGAATTTTAGAACTGTCAGTCAGTAAGGAGCACAGTCGGTGCAGGGAGACCACCAAAGTGAGAGACTGGCTAAATGAGTATATCTGGGAATTTGGTTGGGGAGAGGTGCTTTAAGTAAGGATGACTGAAAGAAGCAAAGTATGGTGAGTGGGAAGTTTGGTGAAGGCTGGAAAGGAAGTTTTTTTTCTGCTACTTGTTTTTCAGCCTCCATGTATTTATTTTCCAATTGTGTGCGGCAAGTAAATCCATAACTATTGTTCAAAACTGTAGGTTTTATCGGTATTTTACATGTTGCATAGTTTTGTCAATATTGCAATGATTTCTGGCTATGCTAAAACATTTTAGGAGATGTAGGCTGTGTGAATTATAAATGATTTAACAATTATTAATTAATTCTGTCCCCGATTAGAGACGGCAGGTCATGTGATGTGTTGTGTTTGCTGAATGAGGGGTGTTTCTGAATATTGGGCTGTTCCAGGGAAAACACGTTTGCAGGATGTACTTGCTGCTGCATGAACCTCAGCTCAGAGTTACTGAGCTGGAGGCACTGTGGCACATCAGGGAGGACACCTTTTTCCACGAGGTTCTCACACTCATGAGGACAGGCTCTTGGATTTGGGCACTGTTCAAGGAGTGTGTAACACATGTGTCCCCCCCACCCCCTCCCTGCCAAGAGGGCAGGAGCCCAGGACCCTTAGCCTTTCTAATTGTCCAACCTGCCTGAGGTTTGTATCTTGTTTGGATGAGAATGAGGGCTGAGGGAATGGTGAGCCTAGTGGCCATGACACTGTATTACAGCAAGTCACTCAACTAGGGAATGTAAGAAGGAATGTAGAGGTAATGGAGAATACCATAGTGAGGGGAATAGTGCGAGGGAGAGCCCAGATGGCTTGTCTGCGTAAAAGTTGGTGTTATATTTCCAAGTCAGGATGGCGAGTGACTTGGAGGAGAAGTTGCAGGTTACATGGGATAAGGATATGGTAACCATTACAGAAACTTGGTTGAGAGAAGGACAGGACTGGCAGCACAACATTCCAACTTTTAAATGTTACATGCGAGATATAGAGTGATGTAAAAGGGGCATGGGAGTTGCATTACTGATTAAGGAGAATGTCACAGCTGTACTATGAGAAAGACATCATGAAGGGCTCATCCAGCGAGGCAATATGCATAGAACTCAGGAATAAGAAAGGTGTAATCACTAGGTAACCCTTGTTCCCCTTACTAATCGAGAACCTGCCTATCTCTGTCTTAAATATACTCAATGACTTGGCCATCGCAGCTTTCTGCAATAATGAGCTCCACAGATTCACCACCCTCTGGCTGAACAAATTCCTTCTCAACTCAGTACTAAAGGATCATCCCTTGACTTTGAAGCTGTGCCCTTGGGCCCTAGCCTCTCCTAGTGGAAATGTCTTCCTCACGTCCAATCTATCCAGGTTTATCAGTACTCTGTAAACTTCAATCAGATTCCCCCTCGTCCCTCTAACCTCTATTAAATATTGACTGCTGTTCATGTGACAAGTCCTTCATCCCCAGGATCATTCTTGAAAACCTATTTTGGAGCCCCTCCAGTGTAGAACATCCATCCTTTGACACAGGGCCCAAAACTGCTCAGAATATTCCAAAGATAGTAGGAACTGCAGATGCTGGAAAATCTGAGATAACAAGGTGTAGAGCTGGATGAACACAGCAGGCCAAGCAGCATCATAGGAGCAGGAAGGCTGACGTTTCGGGCGTAGA